CTTACCTCTTTTCTTTCCTTTTCCTGATTTTCTTTCCTCCTTTCCACCCCACCCTTCTTCTTGACAAATGCGAAAATACAAAAAGAAATTTCCCCTGAAGTTGTCAACCACCTCTGGCTCTCTCTGTCTGTAACCATGTGCAGAACTGGTTTTGCAGTCCTAAATCACATTCTTGAATTCTTTTTCAATTAACCACCTGAGATTTTAGGGGGAAACCCTTGCAATAAGAGGATGGTACAATTCCTTATCCTTTTTTTTAATGATTATAACAGTCCACATTGTATTTATTTCATATTGCAATTAATTTCACTATATCATGTACCTCTAGTCAGTGACTAAAAAGATTATTTTAGACGTAAGACATCCCTTCTATGCCCTTTCTTGAGTATGTTTTACCTTCTGCCAGTAAAACTGCGTGCACAGGATAAGTCACAAACTTTCCCAACTTCCTCTTTAGGATTCACTTTTTCAAGTTTGAGAGCAACTTTGGTTTTTCTACATTTCAGCATTTCCTGTGGGTGCTTGATCAGCTTTTTGCCTCTACAGGAATTTCTGATTTTGCTCTATTTTAAAATCATAAAATAGCAGCCTGGAGCAGATGGAACCAATCCCAAAGGGATCTAGTGGGTGGCATCCCATCCCATGGAAGTGGGGTTGGAACTCAGATCGTCTCTGAGGTCCCTTCCAACCCAAATGATTCCAGGAATCTATGATTCTATGTCTGTATCTCATACAAGGCAAATTAAGTATGTAGAGGGGGAAGAACAACAAAAAACCAAACAAAAATCAAAAGAAATTTTAAAAGCACTTGATAAACTTAATTCTAATCCTAAGTATTTCTTACAGAGGATGTAATTCTGATAAGGAATTAATTTTTAAGAATTAAAAAACTTTCCACATTTCCAGGCTCAGCATTGCACATTGCCCATTAGATTGTCAAGGAAAACTCCATCAGCATGAAGGAATTCATTCTCCTGGGCCTCTCAGAGAACCGAGGGGTGCAGAAAATATATTTTGTGGTCTTTCTGCTTTTCTATATACTCACAGTGGCAGGAAATCTCATAGTTCTCACTGTGACAAACAGCCGGGACCTGAACTCCCCCATGTACTTCTTCCTCTGCCACCTGTCCTTTGTAGATGTTTGTTACTCCTCTGTCACAGCTCCCCAAATTATTTCTGGCTTCCTGGTGGAAAATAAAACCATCTCCTTTGCAGGTTGTATAGGGCAGCTCTTTGGGCTTAATTTTTTTGGCTGCACAGAGGTTTTCATCCGGACAGCCATGGCCTGCAATGGCTGCGTGGCCATCTGCCAGCCCCTGCACTATTCTGCGCTCGTGTCCCGCTGCCTCTGCAGCCACATGGTGGGGGTCTCCTGGGCTGGGGGCTTCCTGCATTCCATCCTCCAGACCCTTCCACCACCTTTCTCCCTTTCTCCCAACAAAGTCACCCACTACTTCTGTTACGTCCACCCCCTGCTCCCCCTGGCCTGTGCTGACACGCACGCCGAGGGCCTGGTCGCGGTGGCCAACAGTGGGGTCAGATCCCTGAGCTGCTTCCTCCTCCTGGTCACATCCTAGGTGGTCATCCTGGTTTCCCTGAGGGACCAAACGCTGGCGAGGTGGCACAAGGCCCTGTCCACGTGCGGGTCCCACATCACTGTGGAGATCTTGTTCCTTGGGCCTAGCATGTTTGTTTACATCCACCCATCCGGTGGCCTGTCCGAGGACAGGAGCGTGGCCATGTTCTACACGCTCATCACACCCATGCTCAACCCCCTCATCTACATCCTGCGGGATGGGGAGATGAAGGGAGCCATGAGGAAACTGTGCAGGAGGAAAGTGGGAAGCAGAAATGAGAAGGGGTAGGGCTGTGGTCATGTTCCCAAAGGATTGGAGAAAATCAAGCATGTTTTGCTGAAATTTCTTCGGTGACAATGCCCCAAAATGTGCCTTTCAAAGAACAGCTGGCTATTGGCTCTTGCTGTAATTAGGAAGGCACTAGAAGTTCTTTTTATTATGGGAAAGACATTGGGAACTCTGGCATTCCCTTCCTATTCCTTGTCAATGAGGACAGGTGCAGACCACAGCCTCCTGAGCAACTGCAACACCAGTGCTTAAATATGGTTAAAAATATTGAAAATGTTGTCCAGGTAGAGTCCCCCATAAGAAACAAAAAACAAACAAACAAACAAAAAACCCCTGATATTAAGAGCTAGTTGGGTGGTTTGCTGATGAAGGAACAGGATGGGAAACTTCTCCCCTTCCTATCCTACTTCAACAAATCCTTTCTGCCCTTTTCCAGGTCAGGCTGGATGGGACCTGGAGCAACGTGGTCTGGTGAAAGATGTCCCTGCACATGGCAGGGGGTTGGAACGAGATGGTCTTTAAGGTACCTCCTAACCCAAACAGCTATTCTGCAATTCCATAATTATCTTATAATTCTATCTGCTTCACCTATCTCTGCCCAAGACAGCACTAAATAAAATAAATGTATTTTTAAATGCTTTGGAGGTAAGCAACAGTGGGGTTTTTTTAGAGGTCTCACTTCTGGGTGCTGCTGAGCAAACATTCACCCATAGCTTATGGAAGGTGTCACTGGAAACAGAGTCAGGCTCCTCTACACTTTGCAAAGAATTCTTACAAGAATTTCATACTTGAGCTCAAAAGTTGCTTCTGTGCATTACCGTGTCAGTAAAAATACCTGGTGAGTGAGAAAGGCTCACCACAAACCTTTGTGCATTTTTTTGAAATTATTTCCTGAGTTACTTCTTGTTTTAAAGTTGTAAGTCAGGTGTCTAAGAGATAACATCAGTGATATTTTTGCTCTGTGCTGTCAACATGCAAGTTAGTAAGAAGTAAGACTATAGATGAAAAATACTGGCTTAAGAAAAAAAGCAAAATTTGTATCCATTTACATAAATTTATATAAATGGCCTATGCAAGAGACATCTTTACTCTGTTGTATCTCTTCAGGGATTACACTAATAACTACCCAAGGAACAATTTTAGGTCCTTGCCCACTGATGATTTCTGACAAAACTCCCTTTGCCTCTGGGATCTCATTACTTCTGTTAGTCTCATGCTTCTGTTGTGTGATTTATTTGAACTATTTCTGCTACAGAAATAATTGCACTTGATGATGGTCCTGGAGGTTGTTTATTTTGTTGGGTTTTTTTTCCAGAATGGGAAATACAGAAGGTTGAGCTGTTCTTTTCAGGGCTTAGAGTTGGCAGAGATACAGAGCTGCTTTCCTAAGTTCTGAGCAGCACCCAGAGATACGGAGCTGCTTTTCTATGTTCTGAGAAGCACCTTGCAGCGAGTTTCTGATGGAACTGAGAAGAATGGATGAGCTCTAATGGAACTGAGAGTTATGATGGATCCCCCTGAAGTGGTCTGGGGAGGTCATCAGAGGAGCGACAGCAAGTGAGATCTGTGGAAGTGTTATGGGATTCTTCCTTTGTTTTGCTCAGGCCCCACTGAAATCCTGCATTTGCAAAGCAGCATTGCTGGTGAGTGACTTCTGGGAGGTCTAAAAAAAAAAAAAAAAAAAAAAAATAAAAAAAAAAAAAAAAAGAAAACATTAAATAACCAGTTACAGATTTAGAATCCCAGAATGGTTTGGGTTGGAAGGCACCTTAAAGCTCATCTTGATCTGAAAACCCTGCCATGGCCAGGTCCATTGACCAGGTTACTCCAAGCGCTGTCCAGCTTGGTTTTGAACACTTTCAGGAATATCACACACTAGTGATCTTGGTGTTCTGCATGGGAATGCTGTGAGGGTGGATTTGTGGATGTTTGTCAGTAAAGCAGCAACATCTCATTCACTACCCCAGTGTCATTACAGGTGCATTTATGGAATGTTTCATACCACAACCAGTATCTGGGTATTATTTCTACCATCCTCCTCAGCTAAATTATCAGGGTTTGTTATTACACATGTCAGTGACATGTTCTGGCTTGGATTTCTCTGTTACTCCTTCAGGGAAGCATTTGCTTTAAACTGAAATTTTCCGAAAAAGACAGCAGAAGAAATACAGTGGATATTCAACATACCAGAGAACAATGTGTGTGTCCTGTTGATGTCCCCTGTCTAATGATTTGGCCTTTTAGATCTTTTAAGGCAGCTTTATTCAATGCTGTTAGCATCACAGACATCTGGTTTCTTACTTGTAACCTCCTGCTTGCTGAGTTATAAACTCCTCAGCAGAAATGAGCAGAGAATGAATTTCCTGGAGGGATTTTAAATGGACAGGTGCATTCCTCTGCTGTCCTACTTTAACCTCCACAGGACAGTGAGTGTATTTATCTACTGAAAAACTTTAAAAATTCCTTTAAAAAATATAAAGGTAGAGAAACCATGCAGGGTTTTGCATTTTCTGCTGTGTTATTTCTCCAGTGAGGAAATTCCCAAACCTGGTTTCTGTGCATGTATTCCCAGTTTCCAAGTGGATAAGCTAACTGGAGAGCCCTTTCCTCAGTTTAGAGGAGTGTCATTAGGATCAAGCATGGAACAGCTCATGCTTGAAAATGGCAGCATTTCCTTGTAGTCACTTCAAATTTCCAGCAGGTAAAAGGACAGCACAGCATTTTTCCAGCATTCATAGCTCTTGTTATCTGAGAGCTGGATGTGCTGGATCACCATTCCTGAAGGGATTTAAAAGCAGTATGGATGTTGCACTTGGGGATATGGTTTAGTGGAGGGCTTGGCAGTGCTGGGGAGAGAATTTGACTCAATGGGGGCTTTTCCAACTTTAATAATTCCGTAATTCTGTGATTTATCCCTGACAGAATGGGAGCAGACCAACAACAATGCAGGAAAATAGTAGTCAGAGTGAGTTCAGGGAAGAAGGTCAGTGTGGAGGGGCAGGCTAGAGACCTAAATAAAGACAAATGAGGGAGTGAGTGCAAACTGCTTTCTGTCATTTGTGACACTGTGCTTTTTGCAGCAGCAAATGCATCCTGCTCACACCATCCATGAGCCTTGGAGCTGTAGCACTTTCCCTTCCCTTCCTGGCCACCCCCCCAACCTGTGCCATGGGAGCCTGAGCTGCAGCAATGGCACAGGAAAACTCCTCCCGGGTGACTGAATTCATCCTCCTGGGGCTCTCCGACACCCGAGAGCTGACACTCCTTTTCTTCACCCTCTTCCTCCTGGCCTACGCCATGGTCCTGCTGGGCAACCTCCTCATCATCGTGGCAGTCAGGACTGACCCCAAGCTCTCCTCGCCCATGTACTTCCTTCTCTGCAATCTGTCCTTCATCGATATCTGCTACACCTCTGTCACCACCCCCAGGGTGCTGGTGGCCCAGCTCTCAGGGAACAAGGCCATTGCCTTTGAGGGCTGCATGGCCCAGCTGTTTTTCCTGCACTTTGTGGGTTCCTCGGAGATGTTCCTCCTGACGGTGATGGCGTTCGACCGCTACATGGCCATCTGCAGGCCCCTGCACTACACGGCCATCATGGCCCGCGGGGCCTGCTGGGCCCTGGTGGCTGCCTGCTGGGCTGGAGGCTTTATCCACTCCACTGTCCAGACTGTGCTGATGCTCCAGCTGCCCTTCTGCGGCCCCAACACCATCCACAGCTACTTCTGTGACGTGCCGCCCGTCATCCGCTTGGCCTGCGCCGACACCACTCTCACCGAGTGGCTCATGGCCTCCAACAGCGGCCTCATATCCCTGGGCTGCTTCCTGGTGCTGGTGGCCTCCTACACGCTCATCCTGGCCAAGGTCCGGGCCCGCGTCTCCCAGGGGAACTGGAAGGCACTGTCCACGTGTGCCTCACACATGATGGCCGTCACCCTGCTCTTCATGCCCTGCATCTTCACCTACTTGCGGCCCGCTGGGACTTTGCCCACCAGCAAGTACGTCTGTGTCATCTACACGATCTTCTCACCCATGATGAACCCGCTCATCTACACCCTGAGGAGCAGCGAGGTGAAGGAATCCATGTGGAGACTCTGGAAGCACTGCAGAACCTCCTGAGACAAGCTGGGTTGGCAGAGCCCTGGAGTTACACCCAGAGTTACACCTGGAGTCACGTTCCTACTCTACTGCTACACAATAATGACTTAATGGCTAAAGCCCACAGACTTCAAATTATGTACAAATACATTTCTATACACATAGAACTGTTCATATTAAAAATCCATGCTGAACCCCCCAAACTTCCTAAACACTTTCACTCGTGTGAGATCCTAATTTTCAAATAAAGAAATTAATCCAGGGTGAGGCTTGTCTTCCTCTCTGACATGCTCTTCCTGTGCTGTGACAGAAGATGGCAGAGGCACATGCACTAAATGTCCCCAAATTCACCCACCGACACTGGAAGACAGAGATGGTGCAGATTCTGCTTGTAGGGTTACCTTTAGACATGTAAGAATATTTTTAGTCATAATTTTCTCACAGAAGTAAATTATTAAAATCATGCAAGGCACAATATATAGAGGAAGGAGGAGGAGTAGAGATGGACTCTGGACAAGGGCATGAAGGCAGGACAAGAGGGAATGGCTTCACATTGACATAGGGTGGGTTTAGATGGGATATTGGGAAGAAATTCTTCCCTGTGGTGGTCTGGCATGGGTTTCCCATGGCTGCCCTGTCCCTAGAAGTGTTCCAGGCCAGCTTGGATGGGGCTTGGAGAAATGTGGGGTATCAGGGATAGTGGAAGGTGTCCCTGCCCATGGCAGGGAGGTGAAATGGGATTGTCTGTAAGGTCCCTTCCAACCCAAACTTCCTCTGTGAGGGCAGCAGTTACATCACCAAACCCAGCAGGGACAGAAATTCAGTGGTTGTCATGAGCGGAACACCATACATTTTTTTGTGTTAGAATGATTTAGGATTAGATTCATTCCACCTAAATAAAATAATGGAATCACTGAGGTGGGAAAAGCCCTCTAAAGATCCATCAAGTCCAACCATTTTGCAGGGCTGCTAAGGCCACCACTAACCCATGTCCCCAGGTGCCCCATCCACACAGATTTAAATCCCTTCAGGATTAGCAACTTTACCACTGCCCTGGGCAGCCTGTTCCAGGGCTGGAAAACCCTTCCCATGAAGGAATTTTTCCTAATATCCAATCTAAATTGCTGCACAGGAGGTGAAAGAATTTCCACTTTTCCTGTCTCTCCACACTGTTTTAAATTAGCCCTCACTCCCACACCTGTAGGAAGAGAAGGATCAGAAGCACCAGTGATTCATTGATCCTTCTGGTTAAGAGAGATTTCCAAACATCTCCCATCCTTGTGCAAATGAGATTCCTCTTTAATTGTGAATTTCTACTTAGGATCATCACAGAATGACTTGAGCTGGAAGAGAGCTTTTTTTTTTTTTTTAGCATAGAGGAAAATGTTGAAAAATTAAAATGTTCTTTAGGTCAATTAGGGTAAATTTCAATAGAGAAAAAAATGTATCACTGTGATAATTTTTTCAACATTCCAATAAAGATTTTATAAATATTTATAAATCAATGCAAGGCAAATTGGAGCTCTGGTCCAGTTATTTTGCTGGTATCTATTTGTTCACTAGGTATAAAATGGGGACATCAACAGTGAACTGATTTGAAACAACTGCTCCAATTTTGATAAAATAAATTAAAATTACATATTTTTGGGACCTGGGCTTTCAATACATGGGGCTCGGAGAAACCTGATCCAGTGGAATATGTCCCTGCCCATTGCAGGGCATTGGAATGGGATGAACTTTAAAGCCCCTTCCAACCCAAACCATTCTATGAAGACAAACAATTGAACATAATTGATTTTTTGTCCCCTGGAAACATCTTGGGATGACTTTAACAAGGCCTCAGAAGATGCTGTTAAAAAGTTGGTGCCTGACAAATTGTGAAAGTGAAGTTTTAGCAGCTGAGTTTTTCCCTGTGTGTAAATTGGCTCCACTGCGCACCATTAAAATCCAGATAAAAATTATCAGCTCCATGAGCTCATCCTCAGATTTATTGCCTTCACCTAGAGGACAACGAAAAATGGCCTCAAAGGGGAAAATACTCCTTTGAGAACTGGCAGGATCTCTGCAATGCTTTTGTTAAATCCCAAGAAGCCTGAAGAGATCCCAGGCTAATCAATTTTATTTAAAGACTCTAGGACTGAAACACAAATGGACATCAGAGAAAAGGGAGCATTTCAGCAGACTCTAATCAGCCTCAGTTCATCATAAGCATTCCTAGGTGGAAATCTCAAACAATGACAAAGCTGGTAGTCCCAGAAGTGGGCAAAATCAAATCACTTTGGTTGTATTACAATGGGGAGGATGGCAGGGAGGGGTGGGCAGGAAGGGTCTAATCCAGCATATCATCAATTAGTGCACATCTGGATTCTGCAAATAGAGATATTTATCCTGTTGTTTTTTTTGTGGTGTTTTTTTAATGAATTTTTATCATAAAATGTAATGCAATATAATTTTTATTTATTTATCCTGAGGAAGAGCACTTATCTCAAAAACTATCCTGTGTTTCTAATAACCCAGCTAAGACTATCCCTGCAAATAAGCAACTTAGATGTAGAGTTGAGAGCCTGGGTGACTGGCTCCTTGATGAAGCCAATGCATCCCACCCCAAAAGAAACATTTAAGATTTATGAGGGGAACAGAATCACAGAATGGTTTGGCTTGGAAGGGAGAGGTGAGGGATGGATCTCTTTGCTGTATCTCTTTCTGGCATCTGGGTTTGTTACAAAATATTTTATTGCAAAACTCCATGTGAAATGTGATGCCTGATGGTCTTTGGCCTAACTGCAGCACACAGGGAAAGGTCTGGGCCATAGGGATTTTTTCCAGCTACAGCTCTGCTCTCATGGCAGGACAGGCCTGTGCTGTGTAACCCTTGGGGAATTCCAGTTTTATAGAGTCCTGGAATGATTTGGGTTGAAATGGACCTTAAAGTTCATGTTGTTCCACCTCCTGCCAAGGGCAGGGAGACCTTCCACAAGCCCAGGTTGCTCCAAGCCCCATCCAACCTGGCTTTGGACACTTCCAGGGATCCAAGGGCATCCACAGCTTCCCTGGGGCACCCTGTGCCAGGGCCTCACCACCCTCACAGGGAAGAATTTCTTCCTAATATCCAATCTAAATCCCTCATCTTTTAGTTTAAAACCATTCCCTCTTGTCATATCACTGCTTGCCCATGTAAGATGCAGAATCTTTCATTTTCCAGGAGTTTGCAAACGCAGCAAACAGGCTGGAAGAATGATGTGCTTCATGTGAACAGTGCAGAATTTACGGCCAGGTATTGCTGAAATAGGAACAGGCCTGGACATCACATGGGAAGTGGCACTCCCATAAATCACAGATGGATACTTAATGGGACCAGAGGGGAATTTTTGTTAGCTCTTCCAAGTAGTGCTGGTAGTCTTGGTTCCTTCGATTTCCATCCCCTTTTGGCAATGTTCTGACAAACCCCTCATACATGCAATTAAGGAAACATCCAAAAAAACAGTCAGATACACTTGTCCCCAGACACTCCCTCATATTTATAAAACCTCATTAAAGAAGAGAGGTGCCTACTCCTGCAGCCAAGCCAGCCCTTGTGCCAGTGCTGGCAGGTGTCTGTGTGAATATTCCAACGCTGCTCTGTCAGGATTCATCTTTTCCTAATGAGTGAAATAATTTTTATGTCACATGCAGAAAGAAGAAAAAGGATTGCTTTTTTTCCTGGAGACACACACAACTATAAATCACCTGTAATTAATTATGTGCAGCAGTGAGTATTTCTGTGTTGTTTCTGTGCTATTTCACCTGAATGAGCTCCCCATTTTATGAACAACTGATGTCCATTTTATTTCTGCTGAGTTTACTATTTCTTATGTAGTTTAACCCCTGACTTTGCTCCTTCTCAAGCTTCTGTGAGAACATGAGACCACAGAGGAGCCTGGCCAGATGGAATATTACATCAATCTATTTATCTCTGCATCTCTTACAAATGAGAATGTGGTACAGTATTCCCACCATCTCAAAATCAATCCCAAAGTCTCCCAGAAAGGAGGCATTTGGACTGAACTTTGCTTTCCCTTGCTATAGGGCTGGTATGTAAATCTTTACTGTAAATACTGAGCTACATTCCGTGAAGCAATGTGGGGTAAATGGGAAGATCCTTTAATGCCATATTTAGACTTCTTTGAACTGCAGAAATAGGATGGGGGGAAAGTCCAGATAGATGCTAGAAGTACTAATGGTATTATGGAAGTCTGTAGGGTAAAATATATAGAAAACTTTGGGGTCTTTAATGGGATGCCAAATTGTAACTCATTTTTATGATAGAATCATAGAATGGTTTGGGTTGGAAAGCTCCTTAAAGCTGATTCCAACTGCCTGCCACAGGCCAGGGAACACCAGGTTGCTCCAAACCCTATTCAAAATCTGAAAGAAAAAAAAAGAACATGCATCTATCTGCTGATTCTGAGAGACTTAATTATTTTCTGACAGCATTACTCCCTTAAAAAGTAAGTTTTAGCTTCTGTTACTAATCTAGACCCTTTTTAGTGGTATTATTAATACTGAGTAATTTATGTTGAAAGGAATTTTAGGGATCTATACCACATTCCCCTTGATCAGAGAACCTCAAAAGCACTGTTGTGTTGCCTGGGGCTGTGTCCAAGCTGGACACTACAGGGAAGGTAACTTCAGCTTCCAGCTCTTCAGTCTGAGGTGGCAACTTGCAAAAACTAACATTTTGCATTAATCACTGTGCAGTTTAATACCTACATTTTGCCTTTTGCATTAGGAATATGTGGGTAAAATTTAGATTTTTGAGTTTGCCAATGCTTGGAAACGGTTTTGAACTTCAAAACGGACCTTAAAACCCTCTGACAATCTTCAAAACGGGGATGAAATTGTGATTAAATTACACCTTCTTTATTCCAGGAAAACCTTTGCCACATTCCCGCAATGAGAGATAAGATGCAGAGGGTCAACCTCTCAGCAGTATCCGAATTTGTTTTCGTGGGACTCTCTGATGCTCCAGAAATCCGTTTGCTTCTCTTTGTGCTGTTTCTGCTCATTTATTTGGCCACCATGGCAAGCAACACCACTCTCCTCGTTGCCATCACCACCGACTCCCACCTGCACAGCCCCATGTACTTTTTCCTCAGCAACTTATCCCTGCTGGATCTCTTATGTCCCACCATCACCATGCCCAAGATGCTGGGGGCCTTGCTGCTGGAGCACAAAGAGATTTCTTTCTCTGGCTGCCTGTTCCAGCACTTTTCCCTCATTGCTGTGGTGGGCACAGAGATTTTCCTCCTGGCTGTGATGGCCTACGACCGCTACATGGCTGTGTGCCACCCCCTGAGGTACCCGAGCATCATGAGTACGAAGCTGTGTGCTCAGCTGGCCCTGGGCACCTGGGCAACAGGGCTTCTGAACTCCCTGCTGCACACCTCTCTGGTTTTCACACTCTCTTTCTGCGGTCCTAACAAAATCCAGCAGTATTACTGTGACATTCCTCCCGTGCTGGCCCTCTCCTGCTCGTCCACCCACAGCAGGGAGCTGGTGATCCTGGTGGTGGCCGGGGTGCTGGGGAGCAGTGCCTGCGTGGTCACCGTGGTCTCTTACCTCTATATCCTCCTGGAGATCCTGGCAAGGAAGTCCCCTGGGATCTGGCACAAGGCTTTCTCCACCTGTGGTTCTCACCTGGCCGTAGTTTGCCTTTTTTATGGGACCACCATCTGCACCTACGTCCGCCCTTCCTTCACCTATTCCCCGCACTGGGATAGGGTCGTGTCCATGCTCTATGGAATGCTCACCCCGCTCCTAAATCCCATCATCTACAGCCTCAGGAACAAAGAGGTAAAATGTGCCCTACAAAGAGTGATCAGCCAGGTGAGAAGGGCTTTAACAAGACAAAAAAACCTTGCTCAGTCTCCACCATCAGTGGGGTAGAAACTACAGTTTGTGACTGTTCCTCTCTAAATTTTTGTCATCTAAAACGTAGATGCTGGAATCCAAATTCATTTTCTGGCCTCCAAACTGCTCCTCTGGGCTGAAAACTCCTTCTTTTGGCTCCCTCTGCAGTTAGAAGGGAGAGCTGTTCACTTTCAGAATTGTACGGCATAGCTTTAGGTCATTTTCACACAAGAAGAGTCCAGCTGGGAATGCTGTTCTCCACTGAGCACTGAGGAAGCTGAGGTGAGAGCAGGCAGGTGCTGGATGCATATTTTAAGGCAGGAATTCTGGGAATTGGCACTCAGGCACACTTAGATACACTGTATGAAAGCAGTTTATATCCCTTTCAAAATTAAACTCCAAATATGTTAAATTATGTTTTATGGATCAGCCCTGAAATTGCTCTCCTCTCTCCCTCTCTCTCTCTCTCTCTCTCTCTCTCTCTCTCTCTCTCTCTCCTTGCTGGGTGTCTGTTGTTTGCTGGAATCACCAGAGTTCCATCTCTGGAGCAATGTTTGCCACTACATTTTTCCTTTTTCCCATCTTTTTCTCCTTGCTGCATCAAATCCTAATGGAAAGAGAGGTAATGCTGCTTCCTGCAGTTCATCCCTCTCTTCACCACCTCTCTTCTTTGTAGAGAAGTAATAAATAATCCGTAAAAATGCTGAGATTATTCTCACTTGATTGACCCCCAAAGTTTATGAGGAAATAGGTTTTATAAAATCTCCTTTATTTAGCTACAAGTGGCTCTGAATTTTTAAATACTTTCATTCTGTGATGAGACTTTGCATTAATTGTAGCCTTAAGGTATCTGAAATGCAAGAAAATTTGTCAGTGTGAACGAGATTACAACTGTGAGCAGGATATTTATGAAGAGAAAAAACTTCCTTGTTCCAGTTCTTCCAGGGCTCTGAATGGCAGCACAACCAGGGCACAGGACCTGGATTTGTCTTTATGCACACTTTACTCCTGATTAGAATCCCTGGAACCTGGAATCTGTTCTAGGCTATTGATGGCTCCTTTGGGATGTCCCACGCACTTCCACAAGGTTCTGAGGGACTTCTGCCAACCACAAGTTGTTGTCCAGAGGCAGCTGCTGGTTCAGCTGGTGAAGTATAATGATGTAGGATCAATTATCCTTCAAATTCCTGCCATAACTTCTGCACCAACCAAGTAGAGGACTGCAGAGGTGTTGTCCAAGCCATGAATTCTCCAACCAAGCTGTAGAGAAGTTGGGACAAGCTGAACTGCTTTGGAAGTTTTCATTTTCTTTAAAAAGGAGGGAAGTTTCCTTCTCCCAAGTGCTGTTGCGTTACGACATGAAATAATTTACACATGCACATTAGATACAAAAGAGGGGAAAAAGAGGAAGTTTATTTCTGAGTATGCAATATATAGAATTCTAAAAGAACAGTGGATTGGAGGATGAAATTGCTACTTCTCCAACCACACTGGTCAAACTAACAGTTTACGAATTCTCTCTTCTTAAAAAGAAGAATGCAAAAAATCATTATTTATATGACAGTGCGTAAGAACTTCAGTAAAAATATGTAAACATCAGAAAGCATAAAAAACTTTTAGAAAAACTTTAAAACTTTCAAAAAAACAAGTTGACAGAGTGCCTTTGAAATTGTCCCTGAGGACTTATTAGAAGGATGAGGGAGGTCCACCAGGAGCTTCCTAAGAAGGTTCTAAGATCATTAGAGGCTTCTTCAGGATGCCCAAAAGGGCTTGTTAAGATGAAGGTGGCTGCTCCCTGCAGGACTGGAGAATGCTCCTCTTTCCAGAGGTGATGGAATCTAAATGTAGCTGTGTGGAGACATGCCTAAGGATGGACATCAGCCTGCGTGCAATTCCAAACCCTGGATGCCTTTTAAAAGAGGCATCTGAATTCCAAGGTACAAAACTAGAGCCTGGTTTCCAATGTGTGTACAGATGAGAGATTTAGATGCCTCTCCTGGCTTGTTAAGGTGGAAAGGTTGGATTATCAAGTCTAATTCTGCTACAGTTCCCTCCCTCTCCACCCACCCCAGCCATGTGTTCCCAAAAAGATCCACTGTAAGGAGCTGCTTGCTGCCAGTGGACCAAACAAGGCTCACAGCAAAATCTGGGATCGGGTCTTTGTGTAACTTGGCAAGGAATATGTTCCTTCTTTTCTGCTTCTTCCGCGGAGAAGCTGTGGCTGCCTCATCCCTGGAAGTGTTCCAGGCCAGGGTGGATGGGCCTTGGAGCAACCTGGTCAGGTGGGAAGTGTCCATTAGAGGTTTACTCTTTATCATCAGCTCTATCACCCCTTCATTAATCAAAGTGCTGATCCCTAAATATTCCTCAAAACCAAGACATCCTCTTTCATTTTCCTCATGCCCAGTAACCTCTGCCACTGGAAGGAGACAGCTGTGATTTTCTTTGGCACCAGTGGAAAAATTTAGCAGGAAAGGATCAAAATACACTCACCCAGTTTCTGCTCCTCTTTTCCCCGAGTGTCTATTTTTGGCTGAGCTCAGAAATCAATATCCCTGGACTGACTCATCAGCACAAAGATCCTCTCACATTCCTAGAAGTGGAGCTGCCCTTTTGGAGCGGGCGTGGAAGCACCAAGTAAATCGAGGAAAAATACTCTGTCGATGAAATTCCCCTGTGAATGATCCTCTGTGCATTTACACTTTGCTTTTGCCACTGAAAATCAGATTTCACCTATTAATTGGCTAATCTCATGTAACTAGTGAGAGACCATTTTCATTCATCTAGTCCTAAACATAAAGGATTCCTGAAATTCTTGATGTGCCTTTAAAATAAACAAAAACAAAACCAAAAAACCCCCAACCTTTCTTTTTCCTTAAGCAAAGTCTAACTATATTATTTATGTGTGGGTTTTATTGCTTACAATGAACAGAGCAGATTTTCTCCTCTTTTTTTTTTTTTTTTTTTTTTTTTTGTATGGTGCTGCTAGGTATGAAAATATGCAACATAAAAGAGGATGTGAATGATTTATTTTTCTCCTCTAAAAATACCATCCACTTGTGAAATTCAGGTTGGACTGCAGTTCTGGCTTTACAATTCCCAGGACTTTGTGAATTAAAAAAAAGTTCCATTTGCCATGCCAGTGCTATTTTCTCCTCCATTTCCTCCCTATTTTTTAATTCTTATACAAAAAATGGATTCATAGAATCAAGGCTCCTTGTGAAGAGACTTTGTCCTCTCTGTGGCCACCCTTTAAACACTTGACTTTAAATGGCTTTCAGATGAAGGAGGGAAGGATTAGACTGGATACTGGGGAGAAATTTATCCCTTTGGGGGTGGTAAAAATCTGGTTGTTTATTAATCCCATTTTAGACAACTTTGTGTTCTCTCACTCAAGGGTAACCACCTGCAGAATTTCACAATTTATACTGCTCACCCAGGCTTCTTTTTCTGCCCTGCCTAGAATTTGTCCTGGCATCAGCAGAAATGTGCATTAACTTCTGCAAAGTTAGGGTTAAATTTTGTGCTTTTTCTTGTAAGGTTAAAATAATACCCGGAATTCCTTTCTTAGCAGACTGAGTCCAATTCAAATTCAAGTTTCAGGTAAAAAAGAAGTGTGAGGGGAATTGCTTGGAAAATTTAAAGATATTTGGGTTTGAATATTTTAAACCAATGCTCATGGCTTGCTTTCCATCAATTATTTAAGAATTAATCAGCCTGTGGAAAGTAAATCTACAAAATATTTGTGATAAATCCCAGAATCAGATGCAACATTTAATTTTAAACTTGATAAATGAAAAACATTTGTACAGGAAAATACTTCATTTGTTTGCCAGCTCTGCCATATTCTCTATAGAGAAAGAAATATAATTTCTATATATTTTATCATATTTTAATGGCCTGTTCTGCTGTCACCAAACATCTTTCAGGCCTGTTCTCACCCTGCTTTCTTGATGATTTCACCACTTTCATATATTTTTTCCATTTTCTCTTTTTGCCTTTAGATCACAAGCCCTTGTTTTCCCTCCCACAACGTAATTAGGTTTTTATTTCTGCTTCATTATGTTACAAAATGCTTGTTGGTGGTTATGGGAATGTCCAGCCTGAAGAAAAGGTTCCAAGGAGACCTTGGAGCCTTCCAGTGATGAAAAGAGCTCAGGGAGAGCTGGACAGGGACTTTGAACAAGGAGCGACAGGACAAGTGGGAATGGCTTCAAACTGGCAGAAGGTGGGTTTAGATGGCATTTTGGGGCAAAAAAATCTTCCCTGTGCGGGTGCTGAGGCACTGGAATGGATTTCCATGGGAAGCTGTGGCTGCCCCATCCCTGGAAGCGTCCAAGGCCAGGCTGGATGGGGCTTGGAGCAACCTGGGATTGTGGAAAGTGTCTCTGCCCATGGTAAGTGATGGTTTTTAAGGTCCAACCCAAAGCAGTCTGTGACTGATAATCAGGGCTTTTATAAACACTGGAAATGCTGCTTTCTCAGAGGAACCAAATGTCGGGGGTATGCCTGTTCCCTATGCAATTTGACTCTTCTGTTGCAACGTTTTACGTCTGGCACAGTTCCAGCGGGGTTATCTCAATGCGTGCCCCTCGCCACAGAGCCCCGGGCACTGCCCGCCCTCACTCCCCCGCCTGAGGAGTTTATAAAGGAACAGCGCCCCCACGGCCATGACACCGCCCGCGCCTCCTGCTGACGTCATCCCCACGCGACACCGACGCCAGATCCCCCCCTGGCGCTTCACCCCGGCAGCGCTGCGGGATGGCGGAAACCACCCTGCAGGTTCCCGAGTGTCCGTGAGGAGACAACGGTGGTGGAGCCGCCCCGCCGAACCGCGGAGAAGCCGCTGGCAGGCACCACTCCGCCGTCGTGCCGCTGGGACTACAACTCCCGGCGTGCCCCGGGGCAGCGGCGCACGGAGCGCGCTGATTGGCCCGCGGGGGCAGCGCAGTGCGGGCGCCCCCACGTGGCGGCTCGGCGGGGCCGCGACCCCCGGGATAACCCGGGACAAACCGGGACAAGCCGGGACAAACGGAAACAGCTCGGCTTCCTCTCGCTCCTGTGCCACGGACCTCGCCCGCCCTACCCTGAGGGACCCTGCGCTGAGTCTGGTGGCTGGGAACGGGGCCAGGTGCTGCGATGCTTCCCTTCCCTTCCCTTCCCTTCCCTTCCCTTCCCTTCCCTTCCCTTCCCTTCCCTTCCCTTCCCTTCCCTTCCCTTCCNCTGGTGGCTGGGAACGGGGCCAGGTGCTGCGATGCTTCCCTTCCCTTCCCTTCCCTTCCCTTCCCTTCCCTTCCCTTCCCTTCCCTTCCCTTCCCATAGCTCCAGATGCCTTTCCTCTCTCCCTCTGCCCCTCTTCCTCTACAGCTCTCTACCTGTCTCCTGATACTCTGAGGCCAGCATTTTCCCTCATCTCCCTATTCGTCTTGGTTGTCTCCCTCCCCTCTCTTTCCTTTCCCTTCCCCTCCCAGATCACAGTGAGCAGGAGGAGCTCTGGGACGCCGCAGGGAGATTCCTGCCTTTCCAGGCAGCCTCTGGCAGGCAGGTGAGGTGGAAGTGTCACTTGGAAAGGTGCTGGGAGCTTCTTCAGTGACCAACTTCAAACAGTGCCCTGCTTGTTGACTGTAATCTTAGTGCTGGAACACGATGGGAATGTTAACAAAGTTCCTGGAATCTCCATGGAGAGAGCTGTAAAGGACAGCATCCCTGACAGAGCAACTGAATTAAAATTTCAGCTGATCAACCTTTCAGTTATTCCCTGATTTATGGTATAACACAAGTTTTTGCAGGTGAAATAAAGATGTTTTTTAAATGAATAATGACGTTCTGAATTTGTTTCTTGTAGATGCCAGGCAAAGCACGTTGTCTGAAAATCGAAATTTACCTCATCCCCAAGGAGGAGGATGAATAAAAGTCATGTGATGGTTGGGAGGAGATCCCACCCACTTCCCAATTCCTCATCCTCGAGGTTTCATTGCTTTTGGAGGTGCTGTTGCTTAATCCTCATCCTCCCACCTGGCAGGAAAGCAGGAGCTGCCTGAAACAGAGAGATCTGTCTGGTTTTGGTGGAGGGTGATGTGGGGAAAGGGGTAGAACTGTCTTCTCCAATTACTCCTGGAAAAAGCCACTTCTGATGGACCTGGAAGAAGAAGAGAAAGTTTCCAGCTGATGTAAAGTAATGGTGGTGTCACTTTCTCTTCTTGTTCCTCAGCCTCTCTGCACTAGTGCTTCTCACGCTGGATGTGGCTGTAAAAATACAGATTCTTGTAAAAACACAGATTCTCAGTCCCCTTCCTCCTTCTTTTCCAATCTCTGCAATTCCCAGCTGTGTTCCCATCTTTGTCACTGTAGGCCTGTGAAGGAGCTGTGTGAAAGTTTAGGTTGAAACAATGGAATAATTATTATTAATTTAGTAATTATGAATTTATGTTATGCTATGTTATGTTATGTTATATTTATTATAATTATGAATAAATATTTCCTGAAATAAGTTCAGGAAATGCTCCTTTCTCTGGATGCTGGATTGAGCTGCCTTCCTGGCCTCTGGAATCCAGCAAGAAGGGATTGAACCCTTCCCACCTGAGGAATTTTGTGGTGACAACATTTTTCATGAGAGCAAGGCTGGTGATTTGAAGGAGAAGGGTTTCCAGCAGAAAACTCTGGAAGTGGATGTTTTCTCCTGTCCAAGGCTGACAACCTCCCTGTTCCTCTTGAAATGCTTCTATTTATGTAGAGGGAAATAAGGCCTGGTGACTCCAGAGCAGATCAGAGTAAACACGGGCAGGGAATAAAGTGGGAATTGCCTTTTCCAGGCAGAGTCCACTGCTAGTTAAACCTGTCTGAGGCAGGATACAGGCAGGAATTCCAAGTAGCTTTTTTTGTGTGGTCATGCTGAGCCTGCTGGTCTTGATTATACAAAGTTCCCTGGATGAAGTAACAATGCTGCAATTCTGGCTTCTTTTTTCTTCTTAGTCAGAGGCTGTTTTCCGTGGTGACCTCAGAGATATCCTCGTGGTTTTGCATCCTTCTGCTCCCTCCCAGGCTGCTGTTTCAGCTGGTATCAGCCCATTGCTCAACCTGTACCTCCTGACTGGAGAAATGCTTTGTCAGAGAACTCTTCCTTCTGACCCTGAGTGAACATCCTCCTCCCTGCCCCTCGGGGTCTTGGCATCTTGGGGAAATTCTCTGTGGTCACCCTTTGCCCTCGAGTTACTGAGCTCCTCTGTGTGTCTCTAACTCTGGAGCTTTCACACCCATCCACACCCGCCCATCACCCTGCAGTGAAGCCAGCGGCCAAAAGAAACTGGTCAAAAATGCTGTTTTCTGCTAAGTTCACGGCCTGCAGAGACACTCTAAGGGGTCAGCAGGGTGGCTGGAGATGGGGAAAACAGACGAATGTGTTGTGTGAGGAATGCAGCTTTTTTGACTGTGGGAGTGCTTCATCTTCTTTCCTCTGAGCCTGCTGTGGGTTGTGTCCCTTCTCAGAGGCTTTTAGAAGGAACTAAGAGCACCAAACAGCAGACAAGGAAGGGCCTGGCCTGTGCTAAGTACGTGTGGAGAAGAAATCTTTTTTGTTTGGTTTTTTTTTGTTTTGTTTTGTTTTTTTTTTTACTTGTCAGACTGGAAAGTTCCTGATTTGAGTTTCAGTCTTGGTCATCGCTGCCTATTTAGACAGGTTTGTGGCCATGCATGACTGAGCAAGCAACTGGGTGGAAGATTCCTCAGGCCAGGCAGAGCATTCCTCTGGCTGCTGGCTGAGGGGAGTCTGAGGGCTTTGTCTCCACAGCTTTTAGTGGCAGCATCTTCCCAGACACTGACCACCACAGCCAAGGTGCTCTGCCTGGGGTTCAGGGCTGTGCCCAGCCCAGCAGAACGTCCGGAACAGCCCTGTGGGATTGCTGAGGGGCTCCTGGGGCTGTCCTTCCCCCTTATCTCCCTGTCCCATGGAGTGGGTGGCCTCTGTGTCCCTGCTTTATGCCTGCTGGAACACTGATAGCTGTGGGCACGGCCCAACATCTGTGGAGCTGCACACGCCGGCTTCAACACGCTCCTGAAGGCCAACCCGATTGAAAGTGTCACAGCCATTTCTCAGCCCAACAGAGATAATTTTCCCTGGTTTCTCTCTCTCTCTGTGCAATTTCCTTTCTTTTTCCCCCCTGGGTTTGTTCAGTGTGCAGGCACAGCACGGTTGGATGGCTTCCCCACCTTGAGGAAGGGGCTGTGTCCAGGACAACACTCCAACTTCAGCACTGCCTCGCTGCTCCACAAGCAGCACAACTTCTGTAGGCACAACTTGAGCCCCCTGAGCTGCTTTTCAGTATTTTTACTTCGGTGCCAAGGGCCTGAACGTGGCTTAGGAGGAAGTTGTACCCAGCAGGAAAGGTGGATGTGGGTGTGGACCCTGTGGAATTGTGGCTGCACCTCTGCATGAACCACAGGAGTGTATTTAGTGTCCCCTCCCAGCACAGCACAGCAGGAATAAGCTTTTCCCAGACAAAACTCTCCTTCTGCTGAGAACATCCCTCTATATCAGCTGAATCCCTTCACTTCTGAATAAGCTATGGAATGAGTTCCTGGAGAGACCTGCTTAGCAGTTTGGGGGTGTCCCCCACCCATCCTGCCCAACAGATCAGCCATGGGCCACTGCTTGTTTTTGTGGTGTTTTATCAGGCTGTTGCATGTCCTTTAACTGCCAGCTCCTTGTAAAAGCTTGTTTCTTCTCCTCATGCTTGAAAGCATTTGCTGCTCGTCCCTTTTTTGGGTGGCTGAGTATAAAAGCAGCCTCCTCTGAGGGATTTAGTGTCTGCTCAAACTCAGTGCTGCACTAAATCCAAGGAACAACTTTGTGCATCCTTACAAAATTACCTGATGGCCTCAGGGGGGACAAACCTGTTTGTCTCTTTGATTCCCAAGTAAAACTTCTTTAAAAAAAAAGTACATTTCACCCTTGTGTCTAGAATTAAAACTGCCTGGTCATCCATGAGGGCTTCAACACCCACCAGTGTTTTCCAGGGGAATTCATGCTCAGAAGGAGGTGATTTTTGTGGTGTGTTGAGAAATTTCCCCATATTTGTTGACTTTAGATGTGTGGTCTATTTGCAATTTTTGTACAGTATTTGAAGAAAAAGTTCAATACAACGGAAACAGGGGACAGGGATGATCCCCACCCCCTTGTTTTTAACACTGTGAATCTGAGAGAGGGGAAAATAAAGGTGGATGGCACCATGGGAGGATCATTACAGTAGAGCAAATGTTGTGGATTGTGGCCTGTGGTGGAATGTCAACATCAAACTTATTGTGGCTTTTGCAGCTTGGCAAATCCGTGTTGTGAAAGCTCCTGTACATGCACCTGGGCCATAGGCTGCCTTTGGATTCTGGGATGGAGTTTTCCCCTCACAGATAGAGGAGTCAGTCTGAAAACTAGTTTAAAAAGGGATAAATCATCCAAGTAAATTCCAAACCAGATCCTTCTTCTGGCTGTACTGACAGAATTACTATATTATTAACATTGTTCTTCCTCACTCTCTTGGCTCTAAGTGTATTTTTACAAGGCTTGTAAAAGAAATAAAAATAAATTCAAGAAAGGGTGTTCTGGGCAAATCAGAGAATTGCAATCTCCTACAGCATTTTGTTTAGACTGCTGTAAAAATACTCCAGAGAGAAAAAAATCCTATTCACAACTTAGAAGAAGTTTGTCTGTCTAAAGAGGGTTTTATACTCCTTGTCTATAAAATCGTGTAGTACAAAGCTGCAGATTATTCTGTGTTTGGACTTTTTTCCTGCATAAACAACAGCTTCATTTTCAGTCTCCAAAGCAAATTTCCCTGCATAATTTCCAACATCCTTTGTCTGTCTCCCTTTGGAGAGTGTTTCCAGGAGCCAGCAGCTCTGTGTACCCCAGGCATTTGCATTCTGTGCTGTAAGTACCCAGTGAAAACTTGTTGCCTAAATCCCAGGTTTCCCATTTGGAAAAATTCAGGCACCTAAAAGAAATAAACTGAAAAGTTTTCACCAAGTGTTTTACCCAAGGAGCGACAAGAAGGAGTTTTCAGTTAAACTCCCAGAGCAAGTGGAGCCCAGATGTTTTCAGTAAACAGCTTTCAAAACTCACAGTTGAGACCAGTGTCAAATTTCCAGACGCATGATCAACCTCGGAGCCAAGTTTAGGGTTGCTTTTGTGTTTGCATAAAGCCTGGAAGCTGAATGACACTGAAGTTTGTGGATGGAGTGGAAGCTCTCCATAACAAATATTTGACTGGATGCAATTTATCTTATTTACAGGACTTTGAGCTTTGGAAAAAAAAAAAAAAAAAGGGTTACTGTATTTTTGTGGATTTAACATTTGAGGCATATTCAGCACTTTCTTGCTCACTGGAATTGGAACAGTTGTTGATTTTTAACTGGGATTTGTTATTATTAAGACCATTAAACCAGCACGGCAAAATCAAGTGTTTTAAAGCTAGAGGTAAACAATTTCTACAGGTGAGAAATGAAATTTATGCATTCCTGGGCATTCTGGCTGTCTGCTCACACCAAGGCAGCCCTCTCCCTGAAGTCTAACTGGATGCCTAAGCCACATGCCAAGGCTTTTGCTCAGGGACTGTATCAAGATTTACTTTGGGCAAATACTGCCCAGTATTTGTTTAGGAGTCCTGTTTTCTGCCCCTTTGGAAAGGTCATGCACGAGAAGGGCACGGGTGGAGTCAGGTTAAATGATACTAAAGAGGGAGTAGGAGGCACGGAAACTTTTCCTTTGGGTATATCTTGATCTCTGACCTAATAACTTTCTGTATCATGTGCAGACACTCACCAAAGAAGCTCTGATTATTTTTGCATGCTTAAAACTCAGCTTCACTATCCCTAAATGGGTGGATTTTGGGGTCTGTGCCCTGTGTAAAGTAGCGAAGCTGTAAACAACAAGAGAGCTTGCTCCATTGTTCCTGGTGGGATATCATCCAAGGAAAAACAGGGATTGTCTTCAACAATTTGAAGCTTGTGTAGGCAGACAATACATTGTTTTTGCATGTGGGCAGCATGAACATGCCTCTACTTCAGCCCAAGAAAGCAGCTGAGAGGGACATGAATTCAAAATCCACACACCGCTGCTGCCGAGAGGATGGGGCAGGCCCTGGGCAGCTGGGAATGTTGAGGGGTAAAAAGTACTAAAATAAGGAAAGAATTTCTCCCTAAGCAGTAAAGAATTTTTTTTCTAGAGAGCTTTACAGGCATTCTTGGGAAGAAGCCTGCTAAAAGCATCACCTTACTCAGGCTGGGCTTTCCATCAAGTGATTTTCACATTTAGGAGGGAATTTTACCCTGCGAGGGTGGAGAGGCCCTGGCACAGCTTTCCCAGGGAGGCTCTGGCTGCCTCTGGATCCCTGGAAGTGTCCAAGGCCAGGCTGGATGGGGCTTGGAGCAACCTGGGATAGTGGAAGGTCATGTGGCCTTGGCAAGGGTGGAACAGGATGATGTTTAAGGTCCCTTCCAGCCCAAATCATTCAGGGATTTCATTATAAATGCATTTTCACCAAGAGCAGCACAAGATAAAAGGAGGCCTAAACAGAGCCATGAGGAAACAATATGAACTGGGGTCAAAATTAAAACAGTAATTTGGGACAGGAAAGATGTGGGAATGGCTGAACTGAATTAGTGGTGAATTCTTCACCTTGGTTACCAAGACATGACCCCCATGGCTGTGCAACCCCGTGTTTCCTCTCTTGACCATGTAAATCTGCTGTCATCAAACACAATGTGCATTGTGCAACTCCAGAAAGCAGAATTTGGGACTTCCCTAATCCTACCGACGTGTGATCACGAGTGGCACAGACTGTCCGAGCTGCATAGGAAATATTCCCGTTACAAACTTTGCAAATATGGATCTTGTTTGATGTTCCTGTTGTGAAGACACTCCACTGTGAATGCAGAAATAAAGAAAAAAAAA